ACCTACATAGTGTGTATATTGCACATAATATATAATTACCAAAAGAATAATCTATGTCTTCAAGCAGACTTTACAAAGACCTTATAAGATGAGACACCTTTGAAAATATGGAATAGTTAGACATATATTGTAGCATGTTTCAATGTTTGAAATTTTCATTCTCATGCAATAATTCTGAAGAAGTTTTGTTCAAAGTTAGATCCAAAGAATGAGAAGTGTTAATTTATGGCTCATTGTCATAGTTTGAATACTAACAAACTTTGAGATCTTTCAAAGCAAATCATAAAAAATATAAAAAAAGTTTATCTTTTATAAATCTTATCTATTGTGATATTTATAGTTATTCATATTTATAAAACTACTAAGGATGATAAATGTAAAATTACTAATTATTTGAATTAGTAAGTAGAAAGCATGATGGTTGGCTATAAAAAAAAAGTTGATAAAAAAGATGTGAGTGGCACAATCATTTTAATACTTGAAGATTCAATAAATGCACAAGTATCTTTGAAAGTAGAAAAAAGCCAAAAAACTACCATGGAGGAGATAGAGACAACACTTTTATCAAATCTAAAGATTAAAACTTTCAAGAAGGTGATTTATAACTTAGAATCACAATTATTATATATAAAGAGACTTAAAAAACTTTAAAATAAGTTTAAGGAGTTAAATTATAGCAATAAATAGTCTCAAGTATAAATTATAAAGTATTGAAGTATATAAATATAAAAAATAAATATAAAAGAGTAAATAATTTTTATTATAAAAAATTAGTTATAATAAAAAGCTAAATAAACATAAAATTATATATGATATAATGGATTAGATTTTATGATAAATAAGAGTGTTAAATTTGGAAGTGTGAATAAAAAGACATCATATTGTGGTAGTGACAAGGACATGAACTCAAAGGAGATACGTAAACAAATGAGATATGTATCAAAGAGATAACAAAAGAGAAATAAGAAAATATGTAAATTTAAGAAAAAATTGAAAAGGCGATTACAAAAGATTAGAAAATTTAAAGAGATTTAAAACTAGACTATAAGAAAAAAATAAAAAATAAAAATAAAAAAATAAATTATTCTTACCTCTATATATACAATCTAATTAGAAACTATATTGCAATATTCCATAGGATCTCCAACATGTATCTAACTTACAAGACATATGTCTAACTTGCAAGATAAGTTTTCTATATGTGTACCATATGTCTAACTTATATCACAAATATCTATCATGTGTGACATGTAGCCAACTTATTAGCCAAGTTTTCAACCTAATAATTAACTATGGATACTTGTAAAAGAAAAGTTATGTCTATGAAGCTTCTAAAAAGTGTATCTGTAAGATATTATCAAATTTATTTACTTTTACATATTTCTATATACTTATATTATAAAAATAATTATTAAAATAAATATGTATATTTATAACATATAGATAGATTTGAAATATGGAATAAAGACAAAAAAATAAAAGATCTTATTGTAGTAGTTAGATTTGGTGTCTTTTAATAATAATAGGTCAATCCAAAAACAACCATTTGTTGATAAAGGACATCTTATATAGACCAATTACAAGATGATTAACTTATCAAGATAAAATCTTATGAAGACTAATGATAAGGAACTTTAATTTATATCCATTATATACTAATAATAAGTTGTAGGAGTGAGATACATCTTATTTTATATACTTTCTTACATATGCATTTTTATATTTTGGTAGAATTTATAATTTTAACTTTGTATATTTTTTAATACAAAGGCCATAAAGTTAGCTATGAGATTTCTATTAGAACTTAGAAATTACAAAGATGTAGTAAATAGTATTATTTGGAAGTTAGCAATGGATAAAGAATTTAAATACTTTTTCCAAAATGGAACTTTAAAGTTGGTGTAATCATCTCCTAATTGAAAATTTAAGTATTTTATGATCTTCTTCATTATTTGCTAATGAAGTGTACTAAGATTCAAATAATATTTTATATACAAGTAATTATAACTTGTATTTTAAATTAAACTCAAAAAACATCATTAACAACTTTTTAAATTTAAATTATAAAATTAATCTTAATACTAATAAGTCAAGAAATAGATGTATTTTTTTATTGAATAGAGATCTAACGATGTTGTGATGTAACGTGACTAATAGGTGAAAAGGGTGAAAAAATTATTATATTATAGAAGATCTAACTTCAAATATTATAGCAAATTATCTTAAAAAATAGACAATAGTTCAAAAAAAAAAAAAAACTAAACGTATAAATGCTATCTTTTTACAAAATAGGCTTCTACTTACTTTTTAAGGCCATAAATAAGAAAAAATAAGGTAGATTAAAAAAATAAAGAATATGAGCATATGTAAGAAGAAGTTAGGAGTTGATTCTAGTAAAAATTAACTCAAAAGGGCAAAATTTGATATCTGGAGAGGATTGATTATTAAATTGGGTCAAAATCAGATCCCAAGGTACAAAATCGAGCACCTATAGCAATTTGGAGGTTCTTTTGAAGATCAAAGAGTGGAATTAGAGAAAAAACTTAAAAAAAAAATCTTTAAGCATTGATTTTGAGTGATTTCAATATGTAATGACTTTGCAAGAGCTTTGCAAAGTCATAGTTGTTTTGGATGACTTTGGAATTTGTGAAATAAAAAGGGTATTATATTTTAGAGAATTTTGTGAGTTTAGTAGTTGATATCTAGTTCAAATTATGACAATCTATGAGAATAGTTGTCTGAAGTATATACTATAAGTTTGAGCTTGATCAAACAATTGAATTGAAGGTTATTGAATTTTAAGTAGGTTGAGGTCTCGGAAATTAGACTTTGAGAGGTAGTTAGGATTTCTAAGAGCTTCAGCAATCTATTAGTTAAATTGAAGTAAAATTTATGTTTAAGAGTAATAGACTTGATTTTTTATACATATGTGAAATTTAAGAATAATTGAATAGTTTAAAAAGAAGATATTGGCATTGAAAATTCAACATTTAGATTAAAGTAGGAGGCTTGCTAATATCCAAGCAGATTTTTGGATTTTTCATGCATTTGATAAATGCAATTATCTTCAAATTTCATATGCTTATTATTAACTTAGTTGTTGAAAAGTATGCAAATTTTTAAGTAAGATCAATAGTTCAATTGATTGATATTGAGGTTTTAAACAGTACTAGGGTTCAATATCAATTGAGTTACTTAAGATTTAATTAGGATTTGGTTTAGGATTAGAATTTGGTTTAAGATTTAAGATTTTTTTAGGATTTGATTTAGGATTTAGGATTTTGAATTTATCTAGGATTTGGTTTAGGATTTAAAGCTTAATTTAGGATTTAAGATTTAGAATTTTTCTAAGATTTGATTTAAGGTTTAGGATTTTTTTAGGATTTGATTTAGGATTTAAGATTTTTTTAGGGCTTGGTTAAGGATTTAGGATTTTTTTTAGGATTTGATTTAGGATTTAGGATTTTTCTAGGATTTGACTTAGGATTTAAGATTTATCTATGATTTGGTTCACGGTTTAGGATTTTTTTAGGATTTGATTTAGGATTTAGGATTTGTCTAAGGTTTGATTGAAATCTATTGGAATTTCAATAAGAATTAAATTAAAACTTAGTTGAGATTAATTTAAAATATATTTTTGATTATTCTAATATTTTTTAGAATTTCTTAAGGATTCTTTTAAGGTTTATTGTAGATTTTCTTTCAATTCCTTTAAGTTTTTTTATTGTTTCTCTTGTAATTTCTTTAAGATTTTTTTTGAATTTGATTAAAGCTTGTTTAATATTGTTTAATATCTATTTAATTAGAGTTTATTTAATATTCTATTAGAGTTAGCATTTTGTTGTAGCAATTTCCATTCTACCTTCCACAGCTAGGTGCTTGGTGCATTCTCAGACAAAATTTTACACAATACAACAATGATTTAGCTAAGCCAACAACAAGATTTAATAGCTTCATCAATCATAGATACTAAGTATAAACTTGCTTACATTGCTTCTAAGAAAGTAATATGGTTACAACTTGTCATGAGAAGATTTGACTTTTTTTAATTTAAGGCAATTAAATTCAAAATTTTAAAAAAATAATAATAGTAATAATGTAATTTTTTTTTAAAGAACCTTGAGTTTTACAAAAAGACAAACCATTTTGGAACTTTGAATACACTAAACCTTAAATTCCAATATATGTTATCAAAGTAAAATTCAACCTTTAAATGTAATTATTATAATAATTACTTATCAATTGGATTATATTTAATTATGAATATATTTTATTAAAAAAAATTAAGTATATTTTTTTATAAAATGGTTGTCTTATCATTTTTAAATGTTAAATTTGTGGCACTAAAATTTATATCCAATCAATTTTTAGATGATATTTTAAATTTTACTATTTTAAATATAATAGATTATTTATTTTCAAAATCTAAAGATATTTTTTAAAAACATATAATTAATAGTGTTGCTTTATTGGTATTTTTACCAACTACATTGTTGGTTTTTAAGCTAATGAGTTGTATAGTATACAAGAATAAGTTTTGTATACATTATTTTTCCACTTCTAGTCTAATATAATCAATGATCTTTTTGACAAATAATTATATCTCAACTTTCAAAGATATTTTAATTGCAACATCTAGTTGATAAATTTATGGTTAGATTTTGACATAAAAGATAATCATATCCATAATTTCTTTTGCTACTACTAAACTCCAAAATGATATGATAAATCTCAAAGGAATAATTCACTTTTGCCTCCATTAGAAAACCTGGTGTAATTGGCCTACTTTTGATGCAGATTGCAATGGTTTAATAATTTTCCAGCTTTAAACTGCATGCAAATTGTTTAATTTGAAATCTTATTTTGCTTACAGTGAGAAAAAAAAACTATGAAACTGTACAAATCCATCAATTCCAACCCCCAAAAGTTCTGAACATGTGCAATAGACACAAACGACACTCCCATGACACAACCACCGTAGCAAACACCCAGACATGATATGAAGTTGTAATCCAATGTAGTTGGTTGGCTGTGGTGGCTTTAAACAATCACGTGTATTCATTCGAGTACATGTTGAGTAATAATTTTCCAGCTTTAAACTGCAAGAATACCTCATGTGGAAATAAACAATGCTGAGGTAGACTCTATCAACCTGGGTGTGTCAATATCTTATAGAGGGTGAGAATACTTCACAGCTCGCTCAGTCTTTGCTGCTGCTGATGTTGCTGATGATCCGAGCCAGTGTTGTCGATGATGAAAGGAAGACTCACACCGAAGCAGCTCTCGGAGGATATTTGGCATCGAGGATGGCAACTCGTTTGTGGTCTTCACCCCATGTTACGAGATTCTTGGCTGTTGCGATCTAAGTGGCCACGGCGGCGGCCTTGAACTGAGGCCAGTTGGGTGGATGCGCAAGTTCGAACGGGACCATCTCCTTTAAGCCTCCACACGCGGTGGGAAGTTCCTCCTTCGCTATATCTGCCAGCAGCGTTTCTTCGATCTTGGCGTTGTCAACGAACACGATCTGCACATCATATGACGACATCGAAGTTGATTAAGATATTCGTGATCGTTCTGAGGGTATCCATCTTAATACACGCACGCACCGGGCACTGATTCGACTTCGAAGAAGGCCTGTCAGTAGTACCTTTTTCTTGATGACGGGGTCTAGGAAGGGAACCACCAATTTCCATGAGGCCCAGAAGATCATTGGAGGGTGCAGAATGTACACCCTTCCCAGTCTTTCTGGGTAATAAGCCTGCACAGCCCCATGACGACGTGAGGAAAGCTACGCAGAATGCGATAGGAAAAGGAAAATGCATTCCTAAATTAGCGAAATCGAAGAGATCCTCTCTTTACTCGGCAGGCGCAGTGCCATATTCTAGTGCCAGATTCGTTACCAGACCCGGGTGTCCGATTCAGCAATTTCGGTGGACCTAAGGTTGAACCCAAATATGCATCTGACTGTAGAAGGAGCTACGGCGTTGAAGGGTGTTAAAACGAGGGCCTTTTTCAGGACACTGTGCTTGCCCCGAGTTTTGGAAAGGGTTGAGGAAGAGTCCAGGGGAATCGATAAGTTACTTGCACGAAGTCGTACGCACCGAGCCATCCTCGCACGTCCAGGTTCTTGTAACCCACGCCTTTGAGGTCGGCGATGATCACGAACTTTTCCTGTCCGGGTGGTAAACTGCATCAACAAGAATCGTGGGAAATCGTAGATAAGACTTCCATTCAGGTAGAACGAAGGACAATGCTGATAAATTCACTGAGGGCAATGTAGAGAGATTTACCTAGAAATGAGTTTGTCCAAACAATAAGTGATACCTCCTGCAACTTGTTTCGAAACATGAAATTTAATGAGCAATACTGTAAAATGGCACAAGTCTGTCAACTCCGTAGAGTTTCAAAACTCTGCACATCAGTATCCGAGAAATATGTCTAGACCCAGTAGAGTAGCGCTGAATCTGTTCGTAGGAAAAGAGCAAGCCACACTGGCAATTTCATCGGCGGAGGTAAAAGAAGGAGATTGTAGAAAGTAGAAAGAAACACAGTAGATTTCAGCTGTGGACACGAATGAATTTAACTTACTTTTGTATTGCTCGAGGTTGCCTCCGCCGAAATGCCTAGCCCCATACCAGAAGGACAGGGGGCGACCAGTTCTATCGTGTCCTTGAATGAAGAACTTATTCGCCGCAATCTCATCCTTAATCTCGTCTTCTTGAGCGTGGCCCAGAGGGAAATACTCGCGTCGCCATTTCTGGTGCTGTGCAAACATCTTGGACGCTTTCTTAACGTCCATGGACCTCGCCCGCATCAGCTTCAGAACCTCAATTTCCTTGGCACTGCGCTCTTTCGATTCGACAACATGACTGCCGTTCTGGGCAGAGTCTTGGTGATCATCCAGCCCATTTGTCACAGCCATTGCAAACTTCCCCTCTCACTTAGGAGCTGTCAATCCTGGAAGTCAAAATGCAGAAACCACAAATCCTGCAGCCTCAGGACGAGCACAACCACCTTCAAGAACCCCAACACCTCCTCAACATCCCAAAATCTCTCTCATTAGAGAATTTCATCAAAGAATCTATGTTCACTCCTCCCACCACCGCCACGAACAACAAAAACAACAATCCTGCAAACCCGATCAGCGCCGAACTAGAAACCTGATTCTAGACTTCCACAACAACCAGTCCAGTAAGACAGACACTTCGACGACGCACTGAAACCTACTGTAGTCAGGCGTCGAAATAGAAAAATCTGGCCCAGTCTCGAAGGAGAGTTTGAAGATTCGTTCAGCGTGCAATATCTGCGCCAACAATAAGAGGGCAGAAACGCCGAGTCGGTTGACGAATGAGAATTACGCAATAATCAGTACCACTATTTCCGCTACCTACAGGATCTCTCCGCGGTCCTTTGATGCAGTCATCGGTTGAATGTTTCCAGCAGCCAGGGGAATCTAGCTGCGCGAAAGCAGGACTGTATCCATCAAAACTGGCTTCCAATGAAGCTTTTGGCTCGCTGCAATCGAAAGACCGGGCTCTTCACTTACTAGGATGCTGTTTGGGCATCATCGCTCGCCACCCACCCCTCCCTCGAAAGCACCCCCAAAGTTACCGCCTCTCTCGCCGGAAATACTCAACAACGAGAGGACAAGATCTGTATTCTCCTATTATTCTTATTTTTATTAGTTTTCTGCTGTTGGCACAAACAGGAAAATACTAGTGCGGAGATCGATAAGGAAAGCTTACAATCTACAATGTGTTTGAAGGTGTGGATCAATGGAAGCTCCGCACGACGCTGCACCAACGCCTCGTTTCAGTTTTGTTTTTTTTTTAATGAACTATCATGCCTGATTCCATTCTATTCACTTTTGAACTTTGCTTTGCAAATTCTAAAATTTGATTGTCATTGTGAAGTACTCATCTTCACTTAGAGTGATCAAGTCTTGGATGAGGATTTTGTAGAAATTAAGATTAGAACTATGACTAGCTTTCTCCTATCTGTAAATGGCACACCGATTTGGTTAGGGTCTTGAACATAGGAGTTGGCTAGCTTCCACTCTTACCAACCACCCACAATAAATCTACACAAAGTTAGTCTTTTAAAAAATTAATACTCCATTCCTATTCACCTAGTTTCACCTAGTTTTGAAGAGGTCCATTGCAACACAATTGAAATGGAGTGTTTGATGTTGATGTAATATTATTAAATAAGAAATGGATTACCTACAAAAAAAAATTGGAGTTATTGCTAAATTTGGGAAGATAAAAAATATTTCATTTAATGTTTGGACAATGGTTGTTCCAATTGCAATATAAGACTAGCTATATTTTTTGAAATTTTAGATATCTTACATTAAAACCAACAACCTAAAAAAAATTATAATACTATAATTACTAAATCTGTAAATTTTATTATTAAATATATATCTTTTAAAAGTAGAATTTGTCTATAATTCTTTTGTCTTTGTAAAGATACAATGACATTTGCATTATTATTTTAAAAAACAAATTATACAAATTTTAAATTTTAAAAAGTTATCAATAAAATAAAATTTGACTTAGAAGAATACAAGTAATGCTTGGATTCTACCAATTTCAAAATTATGTTTTGCTAACAACTTAACTTTTTATTCTTGATGAATTAATCTGATTATGGAAAGTATTTGAAATCCTCATAAATTGCTACTTTTTAACAATTAAATGCAAATATTGTTTAGATAATTATTATGAAATAAAAGATTATCTTGATCTCAGATAAACTTTGCATTATATATGCAATTTAGTATCATATTTAGAAATATCTAATTATCTATTCTAACTTATTAATAGATTAAATTATATTATTGAAGACAACTTAAAAATTATATGTTGTGATACTTATTAACACAATAAAATATAATATAGACATAAATCATTGAGAATTTGGTTCAAAATATATGTAACATATCTAATGAAATATTGATTAAAATTCATACATCGAATTTTTACCTAATTACATAAGTTATCAAATATAGAAGAGACCTTTGGAAGGATAGAAAATAATAATAATAATAATAATAATAATAATCAAATTAAAGATCTATAATTATAATAATATTATAAAATTTTATTTATATATAGATATATACATCATTTTGAATTGAATCACATAAAATATTAATTTAGTGTATTTAACAATAAATCGTTTTTATAAATTAATGGTCTTTTTTGCAATAAATAATGAGCTAATTAGAATCTTTGAATTTTTTCTAAAAAAAGATAATAATACATGAAATAATCTTCTTTGTAAATAAGCTAACTACTACAAGCAATTCTAATAATTATTATGATTGATAAAGACAATTTCAATGGAATTATAAGATATTAGATTATGTAAAAATTAAATAATCATCTAATCAATAATAAAATATTTAATATAATATACCTTATACTAAATAATATTTGTTATTTTTATTTATTTTAGACACACCATCATATTTTATCCTACACACATAAAGTATTAATTTAACAATCTAATGCTAATTTCTTCAATAGTTATAGTTAAGATTCAATAGTTAAGAATTGAAGTTGTTGAAGCACCAATTCAAGAGTAATTCAATTTTATGTATATCTATATATGTAATAAAAATTAAATTAAATTAAATTAAATTTCTATACTTATTTAATATTACTTGAAATTCTTATTATACTTGTTAACCATGCAATATTAAATAATTTGTCTTATCGAAAAGAAATAAATGAAAATTCAACATCAAATAAATCAGTAATTTGAAATAGAATTATCTTTGCAAATAAAAAGTCAAAGCTTTTTTTTTCTTAATTTAATAATTATAATTATAAAATTAATATTCAATTATCTTTTCCTACATATCAATTCAAATAAAGCTCTTTGTATAGTGTAGTCAATCAATAATAACAAAAAAAGTATAAAATTATTATTTTTATTTTTTTCATTAAATCTCTTTTAAATAGACAAAATATTAAGGATATGAATTTCAAAGAAAGAAATCTTCAATGCACTCTTTGTCAAAGACATGAATTAAAAGATAATGCATAAACTAATTTGGAACTCTAGAAACTTGACTAGAAGCAAGAAAGAAGTTGACAAGAGTGAAGAGGGCTTTAGTCTTGTCTCTATATATACTATCTAACTAGGGGCTACGTGACAATGTTCTATAGGACCTCCAATGTGTGTTGACTTTGTAGGATGCATGCCTTAACTTACAAGGCAAGTTTTTCTATGTGTGGGCCACATAGTTAGCTTGGTCTTCAAGCTAACAACATGTGTGGCACATGGCCAATTCGTTGATGACTTTTTTAATCCAAAAAATCAATTATAGATACCTATAAAGTCAAAGTAATGTCTATAAAGCTTCTAAGAAGCTTCTATAGAAGATATTATAAAATTAATTTATTTTTATTTACTTCTACTTACTTCTACATATTTATACAAGTAATTATTGGCTTATATGTATATGTCCATGACATTACCTCCTCTTTTAGAGATGAGTTCCATGAGGAGTGGTGATCATATGTTGAAGAAATCTATGATGCAACGAATTATATTTGTGACATATTCAGATCTTTGTTTTCTTCGAAGATGATTGATATGGCCTCTCAACCATCGATAGTGTCTCATACCATGGAGGAAAGACCACCCTATTATTTGATTGTTGTTGAGACCTTCATAACTTCCTTCAAATAAAATATTTAGAACATTGTCAGGAGTTGTTCTTACCTCTAATAAAATTACTAAACATCAAGAGTCTCTTCCAAGGTCGTGATATCAAATACGTTGTATCTTACCATCTATTCAAGGAAAAACATGTCATTCTTGAGGATTTCTATCTCGATTGCATCATTTTGAAAGTTGTAGCAATTATAATGTCTCATTTGGTAGGTCATCAAATAAAGGCTCTTTAGTCAAATCCACTGGTTGTTGGTTCTCTATCTTTTTAGCATCACAACTACAAAGAAGCTACAAACAAGGATTGAAAATAGAATGTTATCTTGCCTAGATCTTATTTTTTATATATAAAAGATTTTCATCTTGATTTTGATGGATGTCGTTGATAAAAAGCCTCCACCGCTTTTATTGCATTTGCAAGATTCTTTATTGGCTCTCATTTACATTTACTAATATCATATTTGTACTAATACATAAGATATTCTAATTTATTTTGGTACTGCCTTGAATCTAGGACTTCTTCCACTTTCAACTATTCATTATTGTCTACTTCTATAAGAGGAGGTGGAGTTTGTCTTCTTCTTGGTATGTCTATTGTCTTATATGGTTCAAGAAGAGACATGTGAAATATTAGATGGATTTTCATTGATTCTGATAGTTGTAAATGATATGCAACTAAATTGATTTGTGTAGAAATAGGAAATGGTTCAAGCCTATGATAGTCCAACTTATTACAAAGATAAGTGGTCTTGATATTGTGACAAAGCAACCATACCTTGTCACCCATATAAAATAGTGGTTATTTCTTTTAATAGACATCCATATTAATCTTTTATTATTTTTGAGCTTCTTTTAACTATGCCTTCGTTGTTGCATGTAGCTTTGACAAATGATTTGTCAAATCTTTTACATCAGGATTATCAACTTTTAAAAAGTCAAAAGTATCAAGTCATGGATGATAACCATAATTAGCAAAGAAAGTTGTTTGTTTTGTAGAAAAATGTATCGTATTATTATAAGCAAACTCTGCCAATGGCAAAAGAATTGTCCAATCATCTTGTTGATAGTTGATGGTACATCTTAAATATTGTTCCAAAACTTAATTAATACGCTCCGTTTATCCATGAATTTGAGGATGGAATGCTGAAGATAGTTTTATATCCACTTTTAGAATCTTGAAAAGAGTCCACCAAAATCTAGATACAAATTGAATTCTCCTATCAAATATAATATCCTTGGGTAATCCATGATAGCGATAGATGTTGTCAAGAAAGAGTTTAGTTATTTCTTCATCTGTGATAGAATTTATACATAGTACAAAATGTGCCATCTTGGTAAAACCATCTACTACCATGAATATAGAGTCATAAGAACTTGAGATTAGAAGATCCATGATAAAATCCATAGAAACAGAAGACCATAGTTGTTCTGGAATAGGTAATGGTTTAAGAAGTCTATAAGATCAATGATGAAGATTTTTTGATCTTGAACAAATGTTGCATAATTGAAAAAAGTATTTTACATCCTTTCACATTTCTTCCCACTAAAAATCTCTAGATATAAGCTCCAAAGTCTTGTTCTATCCAAAATGTCCTGCTATTAGAAAGTCATGACGTGCTTGAAGAACACGTAATTGTGCATCTCTTTTTGGAACATATAATCAATCTTCAAAATAGAGTAGGTTTTTTTTGAACTCAAACTTAGAAATATCTTGGGACTTAAAAGAAGGATTCTTAATATTATGAATAAGAAGATTAGAAGACATATTTGATTGGATTTATTTCACAAGGATTAAATCAACAATCAATGTTGATTTTATTATCCAAAGATGAA